AGCCCTTTTTGAACCCCAAAGACCCAGAGGTGTTGTGTATAGAGGAGCTCTAAAACTTACCAGTACTTTTAGAGCAGACACATCCTGGGAGGTAGAGGACAGTGTAGAAACACAGGTGACACAGGCTGAGACCAAGCAGGGTGGAACACCCCATCTAAAGCACAGCAGTGGCCAAGTCTGGGCTTGGCACAATGTCCCAATTCAGGAAATAAAGCTAGATATGTGACTAAATAGAAGACACCAACCACTACAAAGATTTATAGATCCAGAGATAGAAAAAAATCCTAGAACCCAGAACAGAGTAACTCTATAACTACAAGGACAGACTCAAAAGAAAAAAATGGATTATCTATAAGGATGGCATGAATACCCGGAAGAAATGAAAGAGATTAAAAAATGAAATAAGAACCCTGGAGGAAAGAATTGCAACAATAAATAGCTTAGAAAATAAAGCGGTAAATATTATTCAAGTAACAGATTTATTGAAAATTAGAATAGGTCAAATAGAAATCAGTGAATCTATAAGATAAGAAATATTAAAACAAAAGGATTTTTGAAAAAGAGGAAAGTAAAGTACCTAATATCAAAAACAACTACTCTGGGAAAAAGGTCAAGGAGAAACAACTTAAGAATCACTCAATTCCCTGAAGACCATGATTAAAAAAAAAAAAAAGCCTAAACCTGGGCATTCTGTTTCAAGAAATTATAAACAAAAACTGCTTGGACCTATTACAGCTAGGAGACAAAGTAAAAATAGAAAGAATACAATGGGCACCTCCTGAAACAGTCCAAGAATGTCATAATCAAAATCCAGAATTTCCAGGTCAAAAAAAAAAAAAAAAGATTCCAAACAGTCTGAAAGAAAGAATTCAAGTACCATAGAACTGAAGTCAGGAACACACAAACCCTTGCAGGTTCTACTCTAAAGGAAAGATCTTAGAATGCAATACTCCAAAAAACAAAAGAGGTAGGCTTATAACTAAGACTAATTACTTTCCCTGAAAGGCTGAGTATAATGCCACAGAGGGAAAATGGACTTTTGCTTCTTCTTTTTGGTGAGACAATCAGGGTTAAGTGACTTGCCCAGGGTTACACAGCTAGTAAGTGTCAAGTGTCTGAGGCTGGATTTGAACTCAGGTCCTCCTAACTCTAAGGCCAGAACTCTATCCACTGCGCCACTTGGCTGCCTGGAAAATGGACTTTTAATTGAATAGAGAACTTTCAAGCATTCCTGATGAATAGAACCTTCAGTGGCTCCACAAAAGACAAAGTCTCCACCTCCACCTTAAAACTCTTTACAATCTAATTCCAGTCTATCTTTCCAGGTTGTTTTGGTTTTTTTTTTAAACATTACTCTCCTTCATATACTTTTCCTTCCAGTCAAACTGTGTACTACTTGTTATTTGATAAGACACGACACAGTCAGCATTCAGGCCTTTGGACAGGTTGTCCCCTATGCCTAGAGTTCTCTCCCTCTTCTCACTTTTGCTTTTTGTCACTCTGCGACAAGAGAATTTGTCCTAGGTCTCTTGCTATCACAGTGATAAGAGAAAGACTGTGATGGGAAAGAAACTCTGACTCAAACTTCTTGCCAACACTAGGAATAAGGGATTGCTGCCCCAGCTTCTATTGCCCATCAGACATTGTCCTCCTATTGTCCCACAGACATTGCTCCTGAAAGTTAGAAGGGCACAGCACCTGCACAATCATGTTTCGGAAACAAGCTATAGCTCCTGTTTTGACCAGCTTCAGGTGTCCTTTTTTCTCCCTTCTGTTACCTGTTACTCTTATTACTCTTATTTTCCCTACTTGCTTTCTGCAAAATTCCATTTTTTTATGTGCGTTGGTATTCTCGTTCTGTATGAAGTTGCTGAAGCTGATGCTCTGGGCTCACTCACTGCTCAACTGAGCCTGTGCTCTGAGGAAAATGATCAATGTGCAGTTAACCATCTCTGCATCATTGATTCAGTGGCTGACAGGAGTATTTAATCAATTTAATTAATGGACCCTCAGATAATTGTCATCTGACCTTCAAGGCTCAGCTCGGGTACCAACTTCTACAAACTGCCCTTCCTTACACGGCTCCTAGTTATTAGTGGTCTTCTCCCCAAATTACTTGATACATATTTGTATTTACTTAACTGAAAGTGTGTATGTCACTCTCATCTGGGAGGGGATGGGGAGAGGGGAGAGCAAGAGAATGTAATCTCCTTCAGGGAATGGATTGTTTTTGCTTTTGATGTGGTATTTCCATTCCCTTGCATGCAGTAGGCACTTAAACCATCTTGTTGAATGAATGAGACGCCTTGTTGAAGTAGAACCTTTAGGACAACATTTTGCCCCTCAACCCACCCCCCCATCCCATGGAAGCTCCTTCAGCGAATGGATTGTCTCACTTTTGGTTTGGTATGTCCCCATTGCCTTGCGAATAGTTGGCACTTCAAAAAACTTGTTAAATGAATGAGACATCTTGTTGAAGTCGAGCTTTTAGGGTGAAATTTTGCTCTGCCAAACAAACATTTCATCAACAAACAAAAAGCACAGTAGAATTTGTATTTGTTCAATCTATCAATCAATTATGCAACTAAAGATGTAGTCTGCTATAAAATACAATTTGCAAATTCACCAAATATGCCTTTGATACCTAGATTAGGTAGCTAAATAGTGCAGTAGGTAAGAGCACTGGACTTGGGAGTCAAGAAGATCTGAGAACAAATCCCACCTAGGCATGTCCTAGATGTGTGACTGTGCAAGACACTTAACCTCTCAGGTTCAGTTTCTTCATCTGTAAAATGGGGATGATAATATTAGCACCAATGTCACAGGGTGAAATGAGATAACATACATATGGCATTTTGCAAACCTTAAAGTGCTATATAAATGCTAGCTATTATTATTTTCAGATATTGCAGAAATAGGAAAGCAGGCATCTGGATCAAAAGTTCACTTTTATTTGGTAGTAATAATATTGGTGGGAAATAATAACTTCCCACAAGCCTTTGGATTTCTTCTTCATAGAGTATAAAAAGCCTCAGATCTGGAGTCAGAGAACCTTGTTCAAATCTCAGCACTGCCACTTATTGCCTGTGGGGCCTTGTGCAAATCAATGAACCTTTCTGGGCCACAGTATCCTCATTTGTAAAATAAGTTTTAGATCCTCTAGAGGATCTAAAGTCTCTTCCAGCTCTGAACATATAAGTCTATGATTCTTCCCAGCTTTGATACTTTATGACTCTATGGGGAAAAGATTTTCGTGATATGATTGGAAGAACCGGAGGATAGAAATCAGGAGACCTAGGCACATATCCTAGCTTTGCCAATAACTAACTGGCTGCGTGGTGACCATAAACAAGTCCTTTTTACAGATGACTTTCTCTCACTGTAAAGTCAGGGGTTTGGACTGGAAGATACATAAAAGCACCTGGCGGGCTTGGAGTTAGGAAAACTTGAGTTTAAATACAGTCCCAGATACTTACTATCCTGGGCAAGTCACTTAACCTGTTTGCCCCAGTTCACTTAACTGTAAAATGGGAATAATAGCAGCACCTATCTCACAAGATTGTTGTAAAGATGACATGAGACAATATATATAAAGTATTTAACACAGCGCCTAGTACTTAGCAGGTGCTATATAAATGCTCATACCCTTCCCTTCCACTGCCCTGAGTTCCACAGTCTTATGACAAATCCAGCCCAAAAAGTATTTATTAACTAAATGTTAGGCACCTGGAATACAGAGAAAAACAAAAAATAGCTCCTGCCCTTAAGGAGTTTATATTTTGCATGTAAACAGACAAGTAAGTATACATACAATAATCTGAGAAGAGAATGACCACTAAAACAGTAATCAACAAGCATTTATTAAGCACTTGCAGTTTAACAGGCACTGTTTAACAAGAAGTGGGGGGGAGGGGCCTGGAGCTGCACAGAGGGGGAAGGCAATAAGTATTTATATAGCACCTACTATGTGCCAGGTACTGTGCTAAGCATTAAACAAATACTATCTCATTTGATCCTCAAGAGAGGTTAGGGCCAGGTTGTGTGGAAAAAAAAAAAAAAAGATGTGAAGATCAAAATTTTTTGTGGGGAGAAACCAGAGGCAGGGAGCTCAATTTGAAACCTAAAAGCACTAGTCCAGGTGAGAAGTGATATGGGCCTGAACCAAGATGGTGGCATTTATTAAGTGACTATTATGTGCCAGGCATTGAGCTAAGCTCTCTATAAGTATTATTTCATTTGATCCACACAACACCTCTGGAAGGTGGATGCTATTCTTATTCCCATTTTACAGTTAAGGAAACTGAGACAAATAGAGGTTAAGTGACTTGCCCAAGATCACACCCTATCTAGCCTTCTCTGGGCTCCTAACGCATTCCTTGACATTGGCCATCCCCCTAGCCTGGAATGCACTCCCTCCTTAATTCTGCTTTAAAGACTCCCTCTCTTCTTGAAGATGAAGCTCTGGGACCATCTTCTTCAGCAAAAAGCCATTTCCCGATTCCCCACCCACCCACACACACTGCAAGTCCTCCGCCCAAATTAACCTTCTATTTAACTACTTTGCATATATTTGAATTTATTAACTTAATTAATGCAGTATTCGTTTTGATATGTACTTGTCAATCCCGTTAGAATGTACGTTCGTTTTGAGTTAAGACCGTTTCATTCATTGTGCTTGTATTCTAGGCACCTAGGACAGACCTAGGCACTCTGTAGGAGTTTAATCAATACTTGCTGATTGATTGATCGAGGGAGGATAACGTGAATTGAGCCTGGGAAGATAGGCTGGAACAAAACTGCCAAAGATTTTAGATGCCAAAGAGTGGGCTTTGTGTTTAATCCAAGGGGCAATACGGAAGCACAGGTGACTTGGTCAGGGCCCGCCCCCCACGCCAGGCCCCCTGCGCCTGCGCCCTGAGTCTTCTCTATTTCCATCCCCACACCCCACTCCTCGCGCCTGCGTCCTCGCTCCCTCCGCCCCGCGCGCCCCACTCCAGCACCTGAGAGGAGCCGATGAGTGCTCTTCTTCGTGCTCAGCAGTCTCTCGATCATCCGCTCCTGCCGCCCCAGGAGCCGCCGCACCCGCGCCCCTGCTCGGTTGGGGTTGAGCAGACCAAGCAGTCCCTGGCTCACCTCCTCCATATCCCGAAACACTGCCATGGCCAGAGCAGGAAAAATCGAAAGAAGCCTACCGGCCCCAAGCCCGCCCAAACTCAAAACGGTCACCGACCCGGCCTCGTTTGTTTTCTTCGCTTTCTATTGGTTTTCCGGCGCGACAGATGTACACAATAGCCAATCGTCGTTGAGAGGGCGGGGCTGTTCTCGATGCGCATGCGTGACACGGTCTCATCAGCTGAAAGGGAATGGTTGATGCTATGTTGGTTGGTTTACTGGCTGTCTTTATGTCTGCAAGGCACGTCCTTCTTCTTTGGCGGCCCTCTTGCACCCTAAACCCCTAACCAAATACCCTGGGTCCTTCAATGAGGGAAAATAGGCGTCTCTGCACTCGAGTTTGCCCGGTGTCCTAACTGGGTCTCCTGTTTATAGCCTCTTCTGGCTCCAATCCCTTATAGAATATAGGCTCCTTGAGGGTTGGGACAGTTTTATTTCTTAATATTATGTATGCTAAACACCTGGCACATAGTAGGTGCTTCACAAATGCTTGTTGATTGAAATCCTCTTATCCAACCATAACCTATTGGTTTTTCACCTCTCCTTCTGCCTTCCCTTACAAAACCTTACTCTTCATCTCCACCCTGACTTCCAATCCCTGGGCCCCTCAAATCTCTCCCAGGTCAGCTCCCTGAACCAGCCACCCTCTCTTTTCCCCTTCTTCACTTCTTGGTGAATCAATTCAATTCCACTGCCCCTAGATCCCTCCCTACCCCCTCATCTTATCACCCATTATGCCCAGCGAAGCCTCAGCCTTTACTCCTACACTTGTGCTGCTGAACAAAGGTGGAGAAAATCATGCAACCATTCTGACTAGCTCCACTACAGATATATTACATAACCTCAACTGGGCCCACACTACTGCTTGGCAATCCTACTATATATCTATCACCTCACTAGCCTGCTTTCCACAGCAGTTCTTCCAAACCTTCTCATCCCTTCTCAAACCTCCCATGCCTCAAATCTTGCCCTAACCTCTCTGCCAACCTCCAATCTTGTATATCTAGTTTCATTTCAGACACCTCCAACTGGATGTCCAGTAGACATCTTAAAATAAATGTCCAAAATAAAACTCATTACTTCCCCCCTAAACTCTACCCCCTTCTAACTTCTCTACTATAATGAAAGAGATGATTATTTCTCTTATATTAATAACTAATTATTGAATTAAGACTAAAGTTTTCCCTTCTCTATTTCCTCATTCAGAAATCAGCATCGAAGAATAGGACTGACAATGAAACTGGATTTAATATTCTCCTCAATCTTGTTCAGACCCCACCCAACTAGGAAGGCCCATTGTGTTCTACTGAGGCTTGAGTTGGGGTTGACCCTTTGTGTAGATTGCCTGGGCCTGAGCATATTCTGGGAGTAAGAGTGACATAATCAAAGCCATATTCCCCCCTCAGACTCCCTTTAGAATAGGTCCACCTCTCATTATAATACTCATTCTTTTCATTAATTGTTAACCAGAGTTGATTGCTGTCTGTAGGGAATATCCACTCTTCCAGGGACGTGTAAGCGTCAATAGACCAGCATAATCTATCTTTGGTACACGAGAGATAGCCAAATGACCATCCTTTTATTAATTATTCACTAGTCATAATTAATAAATGATTAATTACCCAGAAATTATGTCTCTTGAGCTTTTCATATGTCACAGTTGTAGAGGGCAACACCATCCTCATAGTCCTTCAGACTTCAACCTAAATGTCATCCTTAATTCCTTACTATGTCTCACACCCTATGTGCAATCTGTTGTCAAGGACTGTTGATTTCACTTTTGCAGCATCTCTTGTATATGCCCTCTTCTCTTTTGACACTGCTATAGGCTCTCATCACCTCATGCCTTGATTATTGCAGTTGCTGGTGGGTTTGCCTGCCATAAGTCTCTGCCTACTGTAGTCATTCTCCATTCAGCCACCAAAGTGATTTTCCTAAAGCACAAGTGTAACCATGTCATCCTCTCCACTCCCCTTCTCTCCCCTCAGTAAACACCAGTGGCTCCCTGTTACCTCTAGGATCAAATACAAAATACTCTGGCATTCAAAGCCCTTCATAACCTAGCCTTCTCCTACCTTTCCAGTTTTCTTGCACTATAGGCCCTGACACTTTTTGATCCAGTGACACTTGCCTCCTGGCAGCTCCGAGAACTCCACTCCATCTCTTAGTTCTGGGCATTTTCTCTGGCTGTGTCCCTTGCCTAGAATACTCTCCCTCTTCAGCTCTGCCTACTGAGGCTTGAGTTGGGGTTGATCCTGTCTTTCTTTAAGTCCCAACTAAATTCCCATCTTTTACAGGAAGCCTTTCTCAAACCCTCTTAATTCTGCCTCCCCTCAGTTAATTATTTCTTATTTATCCTATATATAGCTTGTGTATTTGTTTGCAAGTTGTCTCCCCCATTAGATTGTAAACTTCTTGAGGAGACATTGTCTTTTGTCTCTTTTTGCATCTCCAGTACTTAACACAGTGCCTAGCGCATAGTAGGTGCTTAATGTTTATTGAGTGACCAAATATTCTTAAAGCACAAGCATGACTGAAATTGCTCTCTTCAAAATTGTGAATATCTTTAATTGCCAAATCTAATGGCTCTTTCTTACTCTTTATCCTTCTTGACTTCTCTTTAGCCTTTGACACTGTTGATTACACCCTTCTCCTTGATGCTTTCTTCTCCTGAGGTTTTCATGACACTGCTGTCTCCTGGTTCTCTTCCTAACTTACTGCTTCTTAGTCTCCTTTGCTGGATCTTCAGGTTGTGTCCTGTGAGAAATAACTTATTTGGACTCAGGAGGGATGAAGTTAAAAGCCCAGTTTATTATGCAGTTGCAACTGGGGGTGTCCTATGGATTAGGGCATATTGTACCAAAGCAGGAGTTCACTATTTATCTCTAATCCCAGCGACGAAGTCCCTCCTCTGATTCCCTCATTGGCTGAGTAGTCCAGAGTATACAACTTTCTGGTATGCCTATTACACATCTCCCCTTTGATATGTCCTCTTCCTTCTTTATACATCCCATGTTCAGAAAATGGTGTCTTAGCCCCTCCCAGAGGTGGAGAGGCTAATATTTATAAGCCTATTAAGCATGTGCACTCTAAGCAAAGCTTAACCTTTGTCCTACTTACCAACTCTAACAGCAAAACAAGATAAAATCAGCTTTATCCCATTTTACTTAGTTACTTTTCTAGCTGTTTGCTCCAAATTTATGGGAACAATCATTTTTGTTGTTATCTCTCATGTCTGTTAACCTTTGGTATCTCCAAAGGCCCACTTCTTCTACTACGCTATTTCACTTGGTAATCTCATCAGCTTCTGTGGGTTCAATTATCATCTCTATGTAGATGATTCTCAGACTTGTCCAGCTCTAACCTCTCCCCTGACTTCCATGCATATTGGAGGTCTTGAAATTGGTTGGTTGTTTGGTTGTTGTCCTTCATGATCAAAGAAGACCAAAATGATGTCACTGTGTTGGAGTCAAGGTATGGTATGTCCGACTATGGCTGATCAGACCAATTCGAGCTCAGAAGGCTATACCACAGGTTGGGCACAAATAGTCCACAAGAACATTTGGAGTGGAGATGTCTCTAAATCTGTACATCTCATTTTTTTTTTTGAGCTATTGCAATTCTGCTTCTCTCTTAGAGCACAGTGCCTTCCTTGATGGACACACCATGCTGAGCAGTTCTTTGCTAGTGTTTCCCATGTTAATCAGTTGGTTTCCAAAGTTCTTCAGAGAGAACTTGACAAGAGTCCTAGTATTGATTCTTCTGACTTCCTTGTGAGTGCTTGCATTGTGTGAGTGCTCCATAAAATAGTCTTTTAGGTAAATGTATGTTTTGCAGTGAAACAACGTGGCCAGCCCGTCAGAGTTGCCCTCTCTGCAGTAGAGTTTGAATGCTTGGCAGTTTAGCTTGAGAAAGGACCTCAGTATGTAGGACCTTATCTTGCCAGGTTATCTTCAGAATTTTCCCAAGACAATTCAAATGGAAGCAATTCAGTTTCCTGGCATGGTACTGGTATACTGTCTAGGTTTCATAGGCATACAATAATGACGTCAGCACAATAACTCTGTAGACCTCTAGTTTGGTAGGCAGTCTAATACCTCTTCTCTTCCATACTTGCTTTCAGAGCCTCCAAAACATTGAGCTAGCTCTGGCAATGTGTGTATCAACCTCGTTATCAATGTATACATCCCTGGAAAGTATACTGTCAAGGTAAGTGAACTTATCCACAGCATTCAGTATTCCTCCATTTGCTGTAACTGATGGTTCCATGTATGGATGGTGTGGTGCTGACTATTTGAGAACCTGTGTATTTTTTGGTGTTAACCGTTAGGACAAAATTAGTACAAGAGCAGTGAATCAATCCATACTTTGTCACCTCTTGGTCTCAGAGGCTTCATTGAGTGTACAACCATCTGTCAACAAAAAGTCATGCACTAACTCTCCTCTACTTTAGTCTTGGCTTATAGCCTTTTCAAATTAAATAATTTATCATCAGTGTGGTAGCTGACCTTGATACCATTTTCATCCTCATTGAAGGCATCTGACAACACTGCTGAAAACATCATGCTAAAAACCATGGGAGCAAGCACACTGCCCTGCTTTATTCCACTGCTGACTGGGAAAGCATGAGAGCATCATCTACTATCCAGAATCCGTGCAAGCATGCCATTGTGAAACTGATGTACAATTGATACAACTGATGAACTTCTCCGGGAATGCAAATTTTGCCATAATTTCTATAAGTCCTCATGACTGACAGCCTCAAAGGCCTTGGTCAGATCATCAGATGTTGTGTACAGACCTCTGTTCTGCTTCTGGCATTTCTCCTGGAGTTGCTGGGGAGCAAACACCATGTCAGCCATTCCTTGGCCCATTTTGAAGCCACACTGGCTCTCACATAGATGACCATCTTCCAGGTGAAGGATCATCCCATTAAGGAGGACTCTGGCAAGAATCTTGCCAGCAATGACTAAGAGAGAGAGAGACACCCCTCCCACTGAGATTGTCACAGGACAATCTATTTCCTTTACCTTATAGAGATGGACAACGGAGGCATC